CCAGTTCATCTGCAATACGAAAGATCAAACAAATTACGCAATCTCTCAATAATGCCACTTGATAGCCCTTTTTTTATGTATATTTTTTGTATAGTTCTAAATTATATTGTTTTTTCTATTATCCAAAATAAAATTTTTTTTTTGGGTGTAGTGCATTTTTTTTTTTTGATAAATGTTGCTTAAATAATTATACAATAATTTCTTAAAAAGGGAATCTCAAAACCAAATGAATAGCAATTACTGTGTAAATATCCCAATAATTAAGTGCTAAATTTGATTTTGATAAAAGAAAGTGAATTATTATTCTGTTTTTAGATTTTATCACCAGCACCCCAAATATTTTGAACCGACAAATATAAATTAGTTATCATAATTATAGTCACTTAATGAAACACTTTAAAAGAATAGATAAAATAAATAATGGACGAGCTTCTTGGCTATAAACTGTTGTGATTTGCTGCGATTCACCACATTGACCCAAATTTCCAATTTTTTTCTTGTATGTTTCTAACCAGCCCTTGATGCCTAGGAAGGTGTTCTAACAATCCATCTCGCCTATTTCTTGTGGACTTCCATAGTAGCCTCTGTTCTCTTGCTTTTTCCTAATATCTCCTCGTTCCCAACTTTTTCTACCCACGGTATCTTCATAATTCGCGTGCAACTTCCCATATTAAACACGTTCACGTTTTGCACTTGTATATAGCCGGACTTCAAACTTTAACTTCAATAATGGTTTTCAAATGCCTAAATTAACCGTTCGCGAGTATAGAAGTGACATGTTTTTTTAAAGTGAAACTTTTATTAAATCGCCTTAAATTTTTTGGTCTATCTATCGCATGCCGCATTACAGCCGACCGCGGAGTAGGGGTAAAACTGAAAAGCGCTCGGCAGAGCAGCCATAACCAATATGGCGGCGCTAATGGCTTGCTGAGCTAACGGTGTCACATTTATATTCTCACTTATTCGTGCAAGTGCATGACAATTACATTTATAGACTGGGAAACTCAAAGCGAAGATGAAATTATTGATAGAATAACTGAAGTTCAAAGTGATTCAATGATTTAAATAAATATTGTTCTCAGTTTTTAACATGAGTCTATTATCTGAATGATTGTATTTATTATGTATTCCGTACTCATATACGCAGATTGAAATTAAAATTTATAGTTGGATATCTTGTCTACTATTGATTTCCCATTATCATTCCCATTTCCCAATAATTAAGATAAGATTAAGAGCGCAATTTTAATTTTAATACCCTAAATCAAATAATTTTGCGAAAATTTACAGTCCAATGCCTACAATCCGAAAAGTTTCACTTGCATCGTGGTTTCATAAAACCACACAATTTTTTTAAATGTGTTCTACTATAATATACAATATAAATAAGTTTCACTTCTTAC